GAAGGGGAGGGAGGGGGAGGGAGAAGGAAGGAAGGAGGAGGGGCGGGGAGGGGAGGGCAACTCAGTTTGAGCCTAGCTTAGCATGGCATTTGAAGGACAACTACGTGCAACAGTGTTTTGCTTCCTTTACGTCCCAAGGGTCCACTGGAGGTAGAGTTGCTGCTTCCACCCTGAACGCTGAAAAAAGAAGCGCCGTGCGTCTGTGCGCGTGCATGAGTGTGTTCGTCGGTTTCAACTCACTTGTCGCTGGGGTAGGTCTCAAATTCCTCCAGCAGCAAGCTGTGGCTACTAGCCCTGGCAGGGGAGGAGCTGGCGCTGAGGTTGGCGCGGATGAGAAACTTCAGGACGGTTCCCGTATCGGAGCCCAGGAAGACCACCGTGTAGTTTCTGCCCGGGCCGGCTGCATTGTCCACCACAATCTTCCGCAGCTGATACCTGTCCGGCAAAGGATGGAGGTCAGTGGACCGGGCGCAGAATTGACACCGTGGGCCAGTTAATGCAACCTGCCGGTTGTGTGTGTGTGCACACGTGCACGTATAAACATGCATGCACACGTACAAACCGTGAACTAGTCTACATCCATCCTAGTCTACATTCATGCAGGGAAAACAATTGTGCAGCGTGTGGGCGGGGCCCAGATGCCAGAGGGGAGGAGCAACGTTGGGGCCCCTGCAGGTATCCAGCTGCAGAACAGGGGACTGCTCTTCTCAAGGGCCACAGGCTGTATCCCCCCCAGAGAAACTGTCCTCAACACACTTGTGAAAGAGCCGCCCACGTGTGCAAACCCCCCCCATCTCCTGGAGTGTATTTTTTGCAAGACAACAGAAATAATGCCTGATTAATTTCACATAAAACAGCAATTAAGGCAGATTTAATTAGATCCAGATCGTCTTGGCTGAGATGCTTAAGAAATTAACAGAAACCAGCATTTCCCAGCTCTTTCCACCTGCCCGAGCAAGCCAAGGTAGTTGTTCACGACCGGTGTGTGCTAACTATGCTGCAGAGGGGCCTGGCGGACTAGATGACCTCTAGGTGACCAGATGTTTCTGCAGGCGACTGCAGGGGGTAGCCGGAGGCCTCGTTCGCCAACATCTGGAAAGCGACAAGTCCCCCAGGCCTGTTGTAATTAACAGTCATGGCGATAAACCAAGATTAACTCGGTTAATCAGCTTGCTTATTTTAGAAACACCAAAGTGTAATTTCGGGGGAAAAAAGAAGCTTTTTGCCTCTTTGCCACACAACGCTTCTTCAAACGCTTCCATTGCC